GACATTCCAACCACCTGAAGAAGACCGGAGCGTACAACGGCCGAAACGTTGTAATAAATATGGCGACAAAGATGAGGACAATAGTCCGAATAATGTAAATAATGTACATAATACCTCATCTCAGAAATATAGACGATGGATATTGCATTTAAACTTTTGAACATCAAAGCATACAGGGAAACATGAAGGGGGATGATATTTTCACAAGTGAGAAGTGCGAGAAAAGAAAATGTTAGCATAGAACTTACGGTTACATCTCGCTAATCCATGTGTAAATTTATGAGACCTTGCCACCAATCTAGTACTTGGTTTGGTTTGGTTTGGTTTGGTTTGTTTTACGGTATATCAACCTCATTGGGTTATTTAATGCCGACAAGGTTTTTATTGCTGCTATTTTTTTTTACAAAAATATATTGCTGGTAATAAGCAGTCTTATACTACAAAATAAGATATATTTATGAAAATTTGCTGTATTTTTTTTTTTACCTCGTCTTATCTCAAGGTCGCCTTATACGCGAAAATATTTTTTTTTTTTTTTTCGAAATCAATATTATGAAAAAAAAACAAAAGAGCTCTGTTTACTAATTTTGATGTGATGAATTCAAATTTCCAAAAACTTTCACTCTACCATGTCCAGTTCATTTTTCCTTTCTTGTATACTAATTTTAATATTTAGTTTCGTTTGTTTTGTTTTATGGTATATCAACCTCAATGGCTTATTTAATGCCAACAAGATTTTTATTGCTGGTAATATTTTATTCTACAAAAATATATTGCTGATAAAATTTTTCTTCAAAAATATATTGCTGGTAATATTTTTTTTTCTTCAAAAATGTATTGCTCGTAATAATTTTCCTCAAAATAATTTTGATAATGTTTTGACACCAGTTTGGGGGTTAACTATTTGCCTATAGTTAGGACCCTAACAGGTTCTACCACCCCAGATCAGGGTGGACCAGGGAACACTAGCAATTAAGAGGTGGTTCCCCGCTCCTTAAAACCTTATGATCAGAGGCCTTGCTGTCGGTCGCAGTTTATCGTCTTACCCAGGAAAGTAATCTAGTACTGCGCTTAATTTAATAAAATTTAGAGTTTATCCGAACAGTTGCCATGAAAATATTTATAGAAAGGGCACAGGGAAACTGCAGTGAGCGAAACCGAGATACCAGGTCAGGACTAATAATATTGCTGATTTTTCTATGGATTTTAGCAAGAATCTCTAGATATGCAGCAAGAACACCGAACTACATGTGGCAGCAATATTCAAAGCATGCAATGAATGGCAGGCTTATAGATTATGCAAGAGAGATTCCGGAGATACAAATTATACGGCACAACACAATGAAGCAATATTTTTAGCAGCAGACCTCGGAATGGATTCAGTAGAAAATTTTCACTTCATGTCAGCCGAGAATACTAGCTCTCAAGAAGTTGCAAGGTGTCACTCCCTGAGAGATTAGTGCCAGTCATGTAGAAAAAAAAGGGGACACCACACATTAATGGGTTAAATATTTTGGTTTGGTTTGGTTTGTTTTACAGCCTATCAACCTCAATGAGTTTATTTAATGCCGAGAATATTTTTTTTATTGCTGATAATATTTTTTCCCCAAAATGTAATGATGCTAATATATTTTTTCTTCAAAAATCTATTGCGGCTAATATTTTTTTCCCAAAAATATATAGCTGGTAATATTTTTTTACCAAAATATATTGCTGGTAATATGCATATATTTTTAAAATATATTGCTGGTAATAATGTATTGCTGATAGTAATATTTTACAAAAAAATATTTCTGGTATTAAAGCCCATTTTTACACTTTCATAGTGTTTTGACCCCAGTTTAGGAGTCACCTATTTGCCAATAGCTGGGACCCTAACAGGTGCTACCACCCCGGCTCAGGGTGAACCTGGGAACACCAGAAATTAAGAAGTGGTTCCACGCTCATCAAAACTACCCTATCCAAGGCCTTGCTGCTGGATGTAGTTTATCGTCTTACCCAGGACGGTTGGTTAAATAGTAAAGTATTAAGAAACGGGAAAATCATTGAAAAGGCACTTGAGTCAACAGAAATGTAGTTCTACAGAAGGATGCTGAGAATATCATGGTTCCATGCTCATCAAAAATAAAGAGGATCACAGAACAGTGATTATGAGAGATAGCAAAAAGTCAAAACTTACTAGGGTTTAAAAAGGACAGGAAATCATGTATAGTCGTATAAATCTTCACTTAGTAAGTACTAATTATACCAAAAGCTGTGAAACTTACTAATTATTAAATACAGAGGGAGTCCCAAGACATTTGGTCCACTGCATGTATATATATATATATATATATATATATATATATATATATATATATATACACACAGAGACAGGGTGAGATCTCGCCATTTTTTTTTTTTTTTGCGCATGCGTGTTCTTTGTATTTCATTTTGTCATTTTGCAAATTACAGAAATATGGAAATGGCGTTCTGTACTGCTTGTCATTCGCACTGGAAAATCCAGTACGAGCATTTCAGAGTGTTTGGGTGTCAATCTGATGACAGAGGATTCCGAAAGAGTTGGATGAGTCTAATGCTGATTACGAAGCTGTTTGGAGTAATCACTACTGATATGCGATGTTATATCTTCATTTCTCTTCCCATAAGGCCGCAGACTCAACACGGAGGCCCCCTTGAGGAGGTAGTGCTGCAAGAAGGAGGCTGTTGAAAGACCCTATGTCTGGTAACAGGACTCTGCACCATGTCAAACAAGCAAGCGAACCCATTCATGGTCGTCATTTAATTATATCATCCCTTACATCTACCCACCTAACTCCTCAGGTTGCACCAACCTTGATTATTATGTGTTATGGGCGACCGATAGCAAAAAGGGTATATATATATATATATATATATATATATATATATATATATATCCTCCGCGTAGAATTCGTTTCTTCAGTATCCTCGTCGCCACTGTTATAGTCCAAGGTTAGGACCATTGGAGGAACAATACGAAACACAAGAGTAGAAATAACAGAGAATGTATTACACGAAAAATAATACAAGAAGTGGAAGGTGTTAGTATGACTGTCAGACTGGTTTGGAGTGAACTACTATCAGCTCGATTCAATACTGTCCGTCTCTCTTGAGAGGCGTAGTATATATAGCGTTAGGAAGAGTTCATTCTGTCGTTCTAGGTAGGGACCGTGACATTATGTGTGGGGTGCAGTTAAGTGAAAAACCAATAAAACTCCTTGTAACACCAAAGATGAACTGAAGGCAACGATTATGGCAACATTCACCAACTTAAGCAAGGAGACCGTCCAGAAGAGTTGCAGGAGATTCCGAAGTCGTCTGGAGGCCGGGGTTGAAGCCAACGGCGATTTTATTGAATAAATCTACTCTTTAGTATTTCAAGATATTTTTTTGTGCAATTTTGGTAAATATGTCTGTTAAAATGAGGTGTCAGTGTTATTTTCGTTTTTTGTGTCATTTAGACGACAATTTATCCATCGCACCGCCTGCATACTGAAGGCGAGGATTCAGAAAATGAAACAAGGAGACCGTCCAGAAGAGTTGCAGGAGATTCCGAAGTCGTCAGTCGGCCGGGGTTGAAGCCAATGGCGATTTTATTGAATAAATTTATTCTTTAATATTTCAAGATATTCTTGGTGCCATCAGGTCGTGAATTCTTCTCGGATAGACTCGTTCCTTCCAACCATCTCTTTCAGACATCGTTGTCGACAGGTCCTTCAGACGGCATCCAGAGTCATCTACAAGTTGGTCAACGTAGCTGTGATGAGGTCTTCCAGCCGATCTTTTGCCGCGAAATGGCTTGCATAGGAGGGTGTCACTCAGAGGTTCTGACTTACTTTTCCAGGAGGGGCCAGCTAGCCAAAGCCTTCTCTCTCTAAGCGAAACTGATATAAGAGGAAGGTGTCCATAAAGGCGTTTCTTCGTTGGGTGTTTCTTCCAGCTGATGTCCAATGCAACTAGTAACATCCTCAAGTTCGCAACTGACAATAACAAGTCCGCCCAGGAATTTGTATACCTCGGCAGCAACATTCAGTCAACGGAGAGAGACATTAAAAACCACGAAGGCAAGGAGGCCTGGGGTGTCCTTGATAGTCTGAGCACCATCTGGAAGTCCTTTATCTCTGAAAATTTAAAGAGGGACTTATTTTTAGGGCCAATGTAGAATCTGCTTTGCTCTACGGACCAACAATATGGAGACTGGTGAAACACCAAGAAGCATAAGTTGACGGTACATTTTTGGAGTTATTTTTGGTAAATATATCAGTTAAAATGAGATGTCATTGCGATTTCCATTTTGCGTCATTTGGACGGCAATTTATCCATCGCACCCTGTATATCTGTTAAAATGAGTTTTCAGTGATTTTCATTTTTGCATCATTTAGACGACAATTTATCCATCGCACCCTGTATATCTGTTAAAATGAGATGTCAGTGTTATTTTTATTTTGGCATCATTTGGACGACAATTTATCCATCGCAGCCTGCATATCTGTTAAAATGAGATGTCAGTGTTATTTTTATTTTTGCATCATTTAGACGACAACTTATAATCCCCAATTTAGAATGAGATGTCAGTGTTATTTTTTTTTTCGTTTGGACGACAATTTATCCATTATATCTGCATATCAGTGTTGTTTCAATTTTGTTTCAATTTATCCATCGAGATCTGTTCAAATCAGCGTTATTTTCATTTCTGGCGTCATTTAGACGACAATCTCAGCCTGTATATATATATATATATATATATATATATATATATATATATATATATGGTGTGCGTGTCTGTACGTGTGCGTAGGGGTGACCCGCGTTTAATAATCACCTTCCACGCTCTGTTGGTGAACAGAGCTACCAGTGTCAGAAAGGCGACAAATACAACCAACGCACAAATAGTAAAATTGAAAACAAGTATAGCAGAAAGCCGACGACTGATAAGGTGATGGCCTCAAATAACAGTCATTAAGTTCGACTACTTCAAAATGTCTGTAAACAAATGTTTATTTACTATTACTTCTGGAGTTTTACTTGCTTTTTTTTTTCTTTCCTTTTCTTGCGTTTATATCCTTTCATATCTCCGCCCTTCATCTAACCACATATCACCCACGCAGACGAGTTACACTCTCTCTCTTGTATAAAACAATTTACGATTGATTTAATGTATGGAATACAGATGCAAGCGTAACACTTCTTATTAAACAGGTCCGGTGTGTATATACCCCAAAACCACCCGAATGGTGTCGTAGACTGACTGGAGGCCAAGACAATGCTTTGGGACCATCGCTACCTTATCAACATTTACGTTTTTGCGACCTAAATTTATATACGTTACAAAATAAATTAAAGTATAACTATTAAATTTCGCGGATTTTGACCTCATTCAAATTTTAAATATTTTAAACATTCTAATATTTTATTGAATTTTATATATATATAGGCTGACTTAAAGTTACCGCTTTTAATTTCTGATAATGTCATCATCCGTATTTTCAAAAATACGCGCCTAAAAAGAATTCAAAATACTTTTTAAAATTCTGGGGTTGTTGAATTCTTTTCCATTTGTGATTAGGAAATACAGTTTTAATTTTTTTCCCCTGTGAATTTGTTTTACTTATGCAGAGTTTGGGAAAAAAAAAACTATTTAAAATTCGCTATTTTTTATCCATGACTAGCAGTAGAGCCCGGCGTTGCCCGGGGATGTAACAGTAAGAGATAGATTAAGTATTGACCATCATAAAGACTGAAAAATAAAATTGACAAAGATTATTGTTTAAGGTTGATAGACACGCATGTCTTAATTATTTTTTTTTTTTTTTTTAACGAATTGGTCAAACCCAAACTCAAACAAAAACATTGTTTTCAATCGTTATGAGTCTACCGATTGAATAGAATTTTATTATAAACAATTGCCATGTAAATGGAATTTTAAAAGCATTCTGAATGGAAAAATAAAGAAAAAAGTGTGCAAGACAATAAGAAATACTACCTGCCAAAAAAAAAGTGAAGTTTTGTTGAAATCGGTTGAAAAATGTAGGAAATCCAATCCCATATATAAACGAAAACACACACACACACACACACAACCTAGGTTTTATAATAAGTATAACGCCATATGAGTTGTCCCCCTTTCATTCTTGTGATGACTCTTAATCGTGTTTTCAAATTGATTTCGTGCAAAAATAATTGTTTTTCCAATTTTTGGCGCTGTCAGAACCACCGCAAGTTAATTTTACGTAGTCCTGTGAAGTTTTGTTGAAATCGGTTGAAAAATGTAGGAAATCCGATCCAATATATAAACAAAACAGACACACAACACACAACACACACACACACACACACACACACACACACACACAAACCTATATTTTTATAATAAGGAAGAATGTTGAAGGTGTTCAAATTATTCAACTATTTAACAAGAAAATCTCACATGTTGATGTTAAAAATCATCAGACTGCCCCACCGTTCGGGGAGTTCTTGGATAGTACGCACAGGACATGTTTAATAAGAACTGTTACATTTGTGTATATATATATATATATATATATATATATATATATATATTACATGAATCATTCATACGAAAAAAACAGATATAAAGTTAATGATATAAATGGCGAGAATACATCTTCACAAACAAATTTAATAAATTACATTAACCCCGAACCTGTAGATGAATATTATGATCCCTGTTTATAAATTCCAGTTGCATAAGCTCTTTTTTTATGTTTTTACAAGCTTATAAATTTATAAATTTGTTTGCGAAGATGTATTCTCGCCATTTATATCATTAAGTTCTATATCTGTTTTTTGTATGAATGATTCATGTAATGTAAATTGAACTGCACCACATACTTATATATATATGCATACATACATACATACATATATATATATATATATATATATATATATATTTGGTTGGATAGATGTGAGTTTGTGACCTTGGGTTTCACGCTTTTGCAATCGTCAGACAAACTGATTATTTTTTTTTTTAATTTGGGTTTATGTAGATTGCGTGTATTGGTGTTATTGTGGAAGTGGTGGGGGAAATTTCGTCGTTTTGTCATTCATCGTACTAACGCAAACATCGATGTATGCAGACACATATACATACTTGGTCGTCCGTCGGGACTCATACATATATAAACATATGTGGGCAGTTTCGGATATGACATATGTATGTATACGGGTGGTGTTGTGTCTGTACATACGCATTTGTATGTTGAAATTTAAAGATTGGAAGTGTGGCGGAAATGTCTCGTGAATGTATACATCTCATTTTTTTTTCCGCTAAATTATATTTCCTCGCATGTATGTATATACGTGTGGTGGGGTTTGTGTAAAATTATGATAGGTAAAAATTATTATTATTTATATTTATTTTTAAATTTTTGAAAAAAAATGGGGGTTTATTTGTTATATTTAAAGCTGGTTATTTGTTTGTTTTGATGACTGTATATGTAACAGGTAAAAATTTGTAATCCTTATTGGTTATTTAATATGGTGATGTTTAATATTTAATATGCTGGGTGAGAGGGTAATTTAATTTAATAACGGGTCTATATGATATGATGTGATAGTAATGTTTCAAGGGATTGGAGACAATGATAGTTAGCTAATAGTTATTGTAAATTGGTAGAAATTGTAAATTGGTAGAAATGATTAGTAACGGTGGTGGGAGAATGATAAAACCATGAATGTAGTTATAGTGGTGGTAGCTTGAACTAAAAAGTGGTTGTTGGTGTTTTATTTTATTTTATTTTGTTATATGTATTAATTTATTTTGGTATAAATCCTGATAATAGGTATTCTGTGTAAAATTATGGTAGTTGAAGTTTGCTATAATTTTTAATTTTTAATTTACAAAAATATTATTGTTATTATATTAAAGCTGGTTATTTCCTTGTTTTTTTGTGACTTTGTATATGTGACTGGTAGAAATTTCAGTTTGTAATCCTTATTGGTTATTTTTATGGTGGTATTAAATATGCTGGGAGAGTGGGGTAGTTTACGTTAATAATTATGGCAGGATTATATAGTAGATGTGGTGTGATAGTAATATGTAAGGGGGTTGGTGGCAATAATAATATAAGTGGTTAATATTTATTGTAAATTGTTAGTAGTGATTAGTGATGTTGGTGGGAGAATAATAAAAACCTATAAATGTAATTATTATGGTGCTAGCTTGAAATAAAGAGTGTTGGTTGTTGGTGTTTTATTTTATTTTATTTTCTATATTTATTTGTTTATTTTTATTTATTATGAATCCTGGTAATGGGTGTTTATTCTCATGGTTACATATGGAAATTATATCTGATCTTATTGTTTTAAGGTATTAAATATGCTGGGGGAGTAATATGCGTTAAAGATTGTAGTGGATTTATATATTAATAGTAGGTGTGATGTGTGAGTGATGGTGCTGGGTGTTGGTGGTAATGATAATATTATTAGTTAATAGTTATTGTAAAGTGGTAAAAGTGATTACTAATGGTGGTGTAATTATAATAATGATAGATGCAATTATTTTGATGGTATCTTGAAATTAAATTGTGATTGTTGATGGTTTGTCTGTTTTATCCGTTTGGTATGAATTCGGATAATAGGTACTTGTTCTCATGCCTACATTTGGAGATTATCTCTGATTTTTTGTTTAGTAAGTTCTTTTGCGGTTTGTGTGATATTATTGCTACTTTTTCGTGTAGGCAAAGTAGGCATTTTTTGTAATGTTGTAGGCAGGAGTTTTTTTCAATATTTCCCAACTTATTGTTGGTGTGATATTTTTGTCTTTTTGCTGCCATATGTATGTAGAAAGTGTTGTGCTGTTCGAATATTTCCTGTTGGTGAATGAAAGATTGTGATTGTTATTCCTCATCTTGAATGGACCTTCGGTGGCACCGATGTAGTGCATAGTGTTGTTGTTTGTACTTACCTTGGCCTTGTATATTGTGTTCGTAAGTTGGCAATTTCCCTGGAGTGGACATGTTGTTCTCTTTCTGCAGTTGCATATTGGATCCTTGGTTACATTTTTGTAGGTTGTCATTTTTTTGTTGTGGCTTTTGATTATTTCTGTTATGTTTTTATGCAGCTGTAACTGATCTTTACGTTATTTTTGTTAAATATTTTTGATAATTTGTTTGCTTCAGTGAAGTGTTTTTCTATTAAGTTTAGGAATATTTTGCCTATGTTCATTTTAACAGTTTTGTTATATGGTAGATTAAACCAGATAATGTTTCTCTGTCTGTTTCTGCGTTTTGGCTGTGGAGGTATATATTGTAGTTGTTGTGTGTAACCACTTGCTTTTAGTGCTTCGTTGTATGGTGCCTTTTTTGCTATTGAAAATGTGTATGTTAGATTAGCTTTAAATATAACAAATAAACCCCCAATTTTTTCAAAAATTTAAAAATAAATATAAATAATAATAATTTTTACCTATCATAATTTTACACAAACCCCACCGCATGTATATACATACATGTAAAAAATAAAAAAATAGCTTATGCAACTGGAATTTATAAACAGGGATCATAACATTCATCTACAGGTTCGGGGTTAAAGTAATTTATTAAATTTGTTTGTGAAGATGTATTCTCGCCATTTATATCATTAACTTCTATATCTGTTTTTTGTATGAATGATTCATGTAAATATATATATATATATATATATATATATATATATATATATATATACACACAAATGTAACAGTTCTTATTAAACAGGTCCTGTGCGTACTATCCAAGAACTCCCCGAACGGTGGGGTAGTCTGATTAGGGCCGAGACAGTGCTTTGTGACCATCACTATCTTATCAACATTTAATTTTTTTCGACCTATATACGTTACGGTGGAGTAATGGATAGTGGCTCGAATTGAGGAATCGGAGAGCAGAGTTCGAATTTCAGTCGAATCCATTATTTTCACTTACTTTGGAAAGGTATTAATCCCCTTCTTCTCCCTCCAGCTACGAGTAAATAGCAGGACAGACAGGGTTCTATTGGATGGCAAGTCGTCTAGGAGAAGGACAACACTGAATTCAAAACCTAGGGAGGGTCGTTTCGGGTCTTTGTGGCACGTGCTGCGCCAGGTGTCTGTATTCACACTTTCAAAAAGTGTAGTTGGTTTACTATAATGAAATCATCTGACCCTCATACGTCGGAAAAACGAATCCAGTATATATATATATATATATATATATATATATATATATCCTCAAGAAGTGAGAGCAAGATCTAAAAGGTCAGCCAATCTAACAATGATCTCATCTCACAATCCTAACATTGCTCCATATGTGGCCTCCTTTGTAAATCACTAGCGGGTCTTAAATGCCACTTAAGATTATCGCACAAACTTTCATAACTGAATCAATAAGCTGGCAGATCCTCATACGTCGAAACCGACGGGGAGAGTCCATTATATATATATATTAATAAATATACGTATTATACCTTACCGGTAGCATGGCTGAGAGTTTCATGAAGAATGCAATCTTCAGGTGCATAAAGATTACGCTTTGCATGAAACTCAGAGTCGTGATGGATAATATATACATTCATTAATATATACTTAATAGCTCTCTTATATTACATAGGGAACTATTTTATTAACACTAGCACTTAAGATTCATGCAAATAAATATATTTGTCACTTAGCGGATTGATGTCATATTCAGCTTCTTTTGCACCTCGACTCTAGAGTTTCGTAGACTATTGCCCCCATCTTTGTTGCTATTATCACGGTATTATGTATACTTAAGATTTAAAACCAATCTAACACGTAGTTTGTTACTATATCAACTAGAACCTGGTTCCTAGCATACGTGAAGCACTAGTCTCCACAGCGTTGCTGTCTGATCTGATTGGCGTGTGGCAGTTTGTCCGAATCATGTCATCAAAATACAACCAAGTGACGTCTTTTCATACATATCTCAGAATAAAAATAAAAATATATCATATTTTTGTGCCTATATTAATTTTATCCTTTGTAAAAGCATGTGTATAGCGATATTAGTTGTCAGCCGATATCTTGTTAAAGGAAACATCTGAAAGATGTTACAGATATTGTTTTGACAGTTATTGTTTTGACAAACAAGGTCAGCTGAGTGAAAGCGGACGTCACAAGAAAAATGTCAAATAACCCTGACAAATAAGGTTAGCTGAGTGAATGCGGACCTCACAAGAACCATGTCAAATAACACTGACAAATAAGGTCAGCTGAGTGAATGCGGACCTCACGAGAACCATGTCAAATAACACTGACAAATAAGGTCAGCTGAGTGAATGCGGACCTCACGAGAACCATGTCAAATAACACTGACAACTAAGGTCAGCTGAGTGAATGCGGACCTCACAAGAACCATATCAAATAACCCTGACAAAGAGGATCGGCTGAGTGATGAATGATTTTTGTACTTACACTAACAGGACAAAGAAGTCTGGTTATTTTTAAGACAGTGGTTCCAAGCAGTTCTGAGTTGAGGTATTATGATTACTTATATTATTTACATTATTCGGACTGTTATCCTCATCTTCATTGCCATATTCACAACGTTTCGGCCGTTGTACGCTCCGGCCTTCTTCAGGTGATTGGATCTCTGTGATGAGGTATTATGATTACTTGCATTATTTACATGATTCAGACTGTTATCCTCATCTTCATTGCTATATTCACAACGTTTCGGCCGTCGTACGCTCCAGCTTTCTTCAACTGGTTGGAATTTCTAACTGAACCCTTTATTTCGTCCACTGGTGTAAATTGTTCTACTTCCACATGCCATGACCCTTCCGGATGTCTCAGTTATTTCCCTTTAACCCAACTCTCCAAGTTTATATTTCACCACTTCAAGGACACATAACCCAGTGGATAAAGGCGTTGGCTAGATTCAGTGACTAGACCCAAAGAGTTGTGAGTTCAATAAAAGACAACAAATGTCTAATTTGTTTGATCAGGAGCCGTTCTAAGCATTATAATATATATATATATATATATATATATATATATATATATGAAAGTGAACATTAAAGTCAACATCCATTTGCTACACGCAAGATCTTTCCCCCTGCCCAACCTATGACTCAATGTTTACAATCTCATCCCCCCCACACACACAACACACGCTCGTAACAACAGACCTGCCTAACACTTTTACACTGATCAAAATTGAAATTTAAGTTTATTTTCATAAAATGGTTTGCACATAAAATGTATCGGACAGAGGTCTGGGTTTTGCTAATAATACAATTTCCACCAGAAAATACACCATCTGCAAAAACATTTCTTGGTTTGTCCTTCGGACCATTGATCTATCTATCTATCTATCTATCTATCTATCTATCTATCTAAGGCAATTCCTATCTATCTATCTATCTATCTATCTATCTTTCTCTCTCTCTCTCTCTCTCTCTACCTATCTATTTATCTATCTAAGGCAGTTCATATCTATGTATGTATCTATGTATCTAAGACAGCTCATATCTATATGTCTGTCTATCTATCTATTTATCTATCTATTTAAGGTAGTTCATACCTATGTATGTATTTATAAATGTATGTATCTAAGGCAGTTCATATCTGTCTAAGGTAGTACAAACCTATATATGTATGTTTGTATGCATCTATCTATCTAAGGCAGTTCATATCCATCTATCTATCTATCTATCTATCTATCTATCTATCTATCTATCTGTGTGTGTGCGCGCGCACGCACACACACACACATACACACACACACACACACACACACACACGTCTGACGACCGGAACAGATTTGCTATATGGGAAATACAGATTTTACTAGTACATAAAAGTAAATTCTACCCTATTTCTATTGAAAGAATGAAGTTGAAATTTGGCCTACCAAAAATCGTTGCTTGCCCCCTTATCCTGGCGCGAACGCAAATCCCTGTGGCCAGAGATAATTTTACGACCGTCTTTTTCTACAAGCAGACCCCTATTATGTATTTCTTTGCAATACTTTCGTTCCATCTCTTCCGCAACAAGACGAACAGGCGTACATATATATATGTCGACATTTCACGCCTAAGAAACACTTGAATAAGCTTATCTCCCTACGTTTTGAATGGTTTATTTTTACACAGGTTTGCGGCACACAGTGAGGTCTGAACTCATCGCTTAATAATAATATTATACTAGACCAGCTCTTGCCCTCATTTTACTAACCTTAGCTTAGTTTGACACAAGGCAACAAATTTCGAGCACCTTATGAGAATCAATGTTACTACTTATTGGTAATAGGAACTTAGTAATTTTAACTCGAGCGCACATAACGTTAATTAAGCTTGGCATAAGGTCTCAAATTTTGAGCACCCTGTGGGAATCAATGTTGCTATTTAGGGGTAATAGGAGCTTAGAAGGAATTCTAACTGCAGTAGTCATTTTTAATAATTTTAATTGAGTTTGACACAAGGCCAAACATTTGAGCACTCTGTGAAGGGATCGATGTCACTAATTAGTAGTACGGAGATTAGTAGTAATTCTAGTCCCAGCACTCGTTTATACTAATTTTAGCTGAGTTTGGCACAAGGCTACACATTTTGAGCACTCTGTGTGAATCAATGTTACTATTTAGTAGTAAGGAGCTTAGTAGGAATTCTTGCCTGACTCTCATTTTTACTAAATTTACCTGTTTGGCACAAGGCCACACATTTTGAGCGCTCTATGGGAATCAATGTCAATACTTAGTAGTAAGGAGCTTAATAGGAATACTTGCCTGACCTTTTATTTTTACTAAATTTAGCTGTGTTTGGCACAAGGCTACACATTTTGAGCACTCTGTGGATATCGATGTCACTAGGAGCTTACTAGGAATTCTATCCACAGCACTAATTTTTACTAACATTAGCTGAGTTAGTACACAAGGTCATACATTTTGAGCACTCTGTGAGGGGATCGATGTCACCACTTAGTAGTAAGGAGATTAGTAGTAATTCTAGTACCAGCACTCGTTTTTACTAATTTTAGCTAAGTTTGGCACAAGGCCACACATTTTGAGCACTCTGTGAGGGGATCGATGTCACCACTTAGTAGTAAGGAGATTAGTAGTAATTCTAGTACTAGCACTCGTTTTTACTAATTTTAGCTAAGTTTGGCACAAGGCCACACATTTTGAGCATTGTTTGAGAATCGATGTTACTCAGAGTCTCGTTCGGGGTGATTGACTGCCCCTGAACCCGTTTATGCGGGTTCAAAGAGGGAATATTTTTGGCCGAGCCTACGGGCTAAGAGATCCCACGTTAAACCCGGCCTTGTGCCACATGTAACCCTCGTGGGGGGGTAGCTAAATATCACTTAGTAAGGTAAGGAGCTTAGTAGTTTTTTGTTTATTACAGCTGAGTTTGGCACAAGGCCACAAATTTTGATGCTATTACTTATTAATAATAGGAGCTTAGTAGTAATTTTTAGCTCCAGCGCCCATAAATGTTAGTTTTGTTTGACGCAAGGCCACGAATTTTGAGCGCCCTGTGAGAATCGATGTTGCTGCTTAGTAGTAATAGTCGCTTGGTAGCCTTAGCTTAGTTTGACAGAATGCTACAAGTTGTGGGTACTCACTGAGGGCAGAACTCACTGCTTAAGGATAATCGTGAGTCAGACTAGCTCCCTATCTGTTACCCGACTCCGAGGCGTCGTAATGTGTGAATCTGTTGGTTAATTTGAAATTTGCGTTTAGGTTGGGCAAAAGAGAAAACACCTCTTCGGTTGTGAGAGATAAATGCCGTGTCTACTACAAGCAACAGTCACACGTGGGTGTGCGAGTTAAAAATAGCGAATAAATGTGTGTTCTTAAGAGAGACACGCATCCACATTACGATGTGGATATGTATGTGAGCGACAATAGACGCCTGGGAGGTTTTGTGAGTTGTGGTACGTGAGGTACACCCCTCATTCTCCCTGTGACATAGATAAATCTCATATTTACGCAGCTTACGCCACTAAAGCTGTTGTCGCAGTCATGGCCGGCATAGACTGCCAGGTCCTTTTCTTTACGGTTGATAGTTCGAGGATATTTATTTGACTAAATCTCTGAAGGTCCTCTTTAGGGGTAAAATACACACGGAGACACACACACACGAGAAGAAAAAACTTGTATCTGTAACAATGGAGAAACTTACCTGGAAAATAGGACTTCTCTTCGTAAGTCAATTTCTGTTTTAACTTTCTGTTTCTTAACAAGATCGTTGTGTTCCGTTTCAGTGTTTACATTGGAGAAAACAGACGACATTGTTGACTTTTCACACGGTCGCTTTCTCTCCCACTGTCATCCTCTATGTGTGTGCGCATGTGTGTGTGTGTGTAGCAAACCGTCTTTAATACATGTTTCGTTAAACAAGACTGACAAATTACTTTTTCTTAATGTCATTTTTCTTTCATGGGATAATGAATGTAAAAGTTGTCTAAATAAATGTGCTGAGATGTCGAGCGTTTTTTTTTCTTCTCAAAGCTAATTTTTTTTTTTTTTAGTATTTCTAAAATGAATGATATGCTATTTTAGAAAGTGGAAAAAATTGCTGAAAGTAAACAGATGATTAATTTCCAAATACGGCCAGAATATTTTGGCCGTTTTTTTTTTAATGCTATTAAGGGCTGTTTACTTGTATTCTGACAATTAAAAGGCGCTCATCGCATTTAAAACTTTTTAAACGCTTTTTGTAGTTGGTAAGCAAACGTCTTTCCGATAAGCATGTTGAGTATTGAGGTTGGTAAAAATTCCATGTTGGTTTAAATGTGTCCGTATGGAGCTCTAGTCAGAGAAGTACAGTCTATAGTGGGAAGATATATCCATAATTATTGATGGCTTCGTAAGCTAAAAAAATATTATTAATTACAACAGCGTGAAACAGCCACACTACACAAACGATTTGACGAGCTAAGAAAATTGCTCAATTTAATTTAATACTTAAGATTAATACACACACACACACACACACAAATATATATATATATATATATATATATATATATATATATATATATATATATATGATAGAATGATCCGGAGATTGCGTTCAAGCATGAAACAGACTGTAGCCGCTTGGTGTTGATATCAGTGTCCACTTTTTATATATATATATATATATATATATATATATAAGCAAATGTAAATGTATATAGATCCGACAGAATGAAGAAAAATTTGGAAAAACAAACAAAAATCCTTAAATGCAATTATGTTGTTTAAAATGAATGAAATGTCGACGTCTGACGTTTTCGGTTTAATAAACCTTCTTCAGGACAATATTCATTAAAATACAATTCAGTTCAATTTGACAAAGACAATGGACATAAAAACAAGTCTTATCCAAAACAGATAACTGAAAATTTTTAAAATGATCAGCTTTCCGTTTAGCATGGTCACGTTTTCGTCACATGGGCGACGCTTTCAAAACGTATTCCTAAAAATTTTTGATTATTTTGAATGAAATTGAACTGAATTGTATTTTAATGAATATTGTCTTGAAAAAGGTTTATTAAACCGAAACGTCAGACGTCGACATTTCATTCATTTTAAACAACATAATTGCATTTAAGGATTTTTGTTTGTTTTTTCCAAATTTTCTTCATATATATATATATCGGTTTGACGCTTAATCACGCGTCGCCAATGATGGTTTTAACTGCGGGTTTCAGGTCTTGCAACATCATACCACTTCTCGTCGGTGATCCAGTCTGTAAGGATCATGATCGGATCCAGATGTGTGTCAGCTTACAGCTACAACTAGTCTCATAGTATAAGGTTAACCTATTCTGTGAAGAAGCTTTAATAAAAATCGAAACATGTTAGATTTATATACGTTTCCTATTATCCTATTTGATCCCAATTCACACACACACACACACATATATATATATATATATATATATATATATATATATATATATATATTAACTACGAACAAGGCCACAATGTGCTAACCGTGTTCGGAAAATAAAACATCTCTTTAACACTAAAAGCATACATATAACGCACACACTCAATTAAACTGAAAAAATAAAATCATCCTTGATAATGGCTAAAAGTATAGCCGAAAGTACTCGGAACTATAAAACATTTGGACAGTTCTTACACACTCTGTGTCCAGAAAGAAAACACTTGTTCGAACACAAGGAAAATTAAATAAAAAAACTTAATCGTAGTACCTTGTCTGCCTTTTTTAATGAAACATTTATAAATGAAGGAGTGATGCCTAAATGTAATATATATATATATGTGTGTGTGTGTGTGTGTGTGTATTGAAAGAAAATGGTCAAAATCGCTGGAATTTCTCGGAGAAACAATTTCTGTAAACACACCGATAATATTAAACTACTAAAACGACCACTTGAAAAAAAAATTTGTAATTAACGAAATTTTTTTTCAAAGAAATAATTCTATGTTCTTCAATTAAAATAAGGAAAAAGATGACCACAGACACACACACACACACACACACACATACTCATATATATATATATATATATATATATATTATGTATATTTAGGCAGCAATTTTTCATTAATGCATGTTTCATTAAATAATATAGACAAGTTTTGTCTATTTATTTTAAGTAAGTTCCTTTCATATTGTCTGATAAGCTTAATAACATTATTATTGAAAGACGAAAGTAAATCACCATATTGATACATGTTTAAATCTGACCTAAGCTTTCGGCTTATATAAGCCATTATCAAAGATGACAATTACTTTTCAATATATCAACCAATACATGAATGAAACAATAATGATAGTCTGTTTTTGTTGCATATGAAGTGTTTTGGGATTTTATTGTTTATTGATTATTTGCTCTGTAATAATAAATACATTGAGTTCTTTTTGTGGATCAGTTTTAATATTTTATATTACTAGGATCCACCTGGATTATATGTCAACGGATTTGTTACCTTTACTATATACACTTCCGTTCTATTCTTCTCTTTCTTTTTCCTTCTTTTTTTCCTTTCTCTTCCTCCCTTTTGATTCAGTATCTATCTATATTTCTGAGATGAGGTATTATGTACACTATTTACATTATTCGGACTATTGTCCTCATCTTTGTCG